TCCTATTTGCTTATTTGTATGCTTTAATATCCATTACTTCAGAATAATTTGTAGTGTTTGCACATAGACCTGTGAAAACAACTCATTGTTTGTCACCTACACTGAAACTTTCTTCCAGGCTATGGTCTTGATGAAGTCATTATTTCGTTACATGATGCAGATTTTGACTGACACTAGAATTGTTTATGATGCTCTGGTCATCCTGTTCCTTACTGTAGCGTGCTGTTATTGTTGACCTCTTGTATAACAATAAAGAAGGGGTGAAAAACTGATTGATGTTGTTCTGTTTTCTATAGTAATATTGATGATGTTGACAAGACCATGGACGAGATCAATGAACAGACAGAGAACATGAAGCAAATTCAGGAAGCATTAGCCACTCCTATTGGAGCAGCAGCTGACTTTGATGAAGTATACCTTCTTCCCGTGATCAGTGTTCTTACACTTACCTACTTTTCTTAATTTTGATGTATGAACCAAAAACTGTGATGGCAGGATGAGTTGGAAGCAGAACTGGAAGAGTTGGAGGGAGCCGAGTTGGAGGAACAGCTTCTTCAGCCTGCTACAACTGCTCCTGCTGCGCCAGTTCATGTTCCTGCTGGTAGAGTACCTGCTCGGCCTGTTCCCCAGAAAAATACTGCCGAGGAAGACGAACTTGCAGCATTGCAAGCTGAGATGGCAATGTAGTGAGGCACTGTGATCTTCACATCTGCCATGTGTCTCGGAAGATTAAGACAGCAGCTAATGACGATCCAACCTTTCTCTTGAGACTGTTCTACCCAATCCCTCTGTTGAAAAGCACCTGTAAAATTCATGATCTAAGTGTGATTGATACCTGTAAAATTTCTGTTATAATTTGGATGTGCCATGACAGGGGATCTTCTCTGTTGATGCTTTATGCGCCCGTGATATAAGAGCTGATTGCCATTTCCAATGTTTTATGCTTCTGAGGTGTATTTGATATAGTTGCTTTGTTTTGGATCTGGTCAAATTTTCTGTTAATTTTAATTTGAGATTGTTTTAGGTCTCAATTGGGAAGTTCTTGTCTGATTTGTGTTCGCGATGTTTCCCCTTTCTTTCATGAGTTTGTAATCTGTGGCACGTCCAAAACGCTTGGAACACTTCATTTCACCCTTTTTCTCTTTCCGAGATCTTCTCATTAGTTTTTCTTTTCTCCGGTCATAATTATTACACGTGTAATAATTAGCCCTTGAAAGTCGATAGTATTAGATAAAATTAAGAAAGCTTTTTATTTATGTTTGTGTTGATCTATGTTGATCGTTGTTGAGGAAAAAAGTCGTTGATGTACAGACCTATATATGTAGAATTGTCCGAGGTATCGTCGAGGTGTACGAAACTTGAGGTTTTTTCGACTTCTGTATCTCGAGCATATTTTGTCTTATGTCTTCTTCCGATGGATTTCTCATTAAATTGAGTTTTTTTTATTTACGCATCTCAAGTATATTGTCTTGTGTCTTTTTTCGTGACAAGTTTCTTTCATGCTTTTCGAAGTGGTCTTCATACATTGGTTACTTTTGACTAATAACATCACCATTACATCACAGCTCTTTTTGATCGTGTACTGGATGTCGGCTGCGCCATTCATCAATTGTCTCTCATGATCGACAATCTTCACAAGGAGGTAGAGGAGACGCCCAACGCTTGTTGTTGAGGCAAAGGCTCGAGGAGCCGACTTGGCAAGACAACTATAATAGGCCAAGCGATACCTTGCTAAGAGCTAGGTTTGATTAGGGCATACAACTCTGAGCTCATCGAGCAAGTTACAAGATTTTGGGAGGAGACGTTCCTTGTCTTGTCTTGTGAGATGTTGGTTTTTACTGAGTCATCGAGTCTACCTACCTAACTTAGTCCTTGCGTCTTTTTCTTGTTGCATCATCGAGCTTATCCACTCGACCAGTCTCTACCTCGGTAGGTCAAGGTCTCATTTTGGATGTAGAGGCTCGATCGAGTTGGTGTAGTCTTTTAAAGTAATGAATCTTTCTTTCCTCAACTTGCAACACTAATACCCTGAAAATATTTTTACCTTTTTTTTTTTAACTTGATGATTGGGACGTAGTCACCCTGACATAACCCTGAGGGATACTTGAAAGGGTAGAACCTCTTTTAAGTTTGCAATATGTAATGTCCTTAAAGGCACCACCCCTTCTGTTGTCTCAAGGCAATAGGTTCCATTTCGAACAATCTTGATGACGCGATATGGCCATTTCGAATTTGGCACTAGCTTATCCCAGGATCTAGTTGGATCATTGACTTTAGCTTTCTAAAGCACTAGGTCATGTCTAGGAGTGCTTCAACCCATGGCTCTACCAACTCAGGATGTGGAATGAACTTGGTGAGGTCTCAAGGGTCCATAAGTGGAGTCTCGGGTTGAGCCTTCTTCAGTAGGAAGACTACCATCAGGTAGGCACTGGAGTAACTCCCTTGGGTTACTTCTCAGCTCTACAATGTCGGTTCTTGTTGGAAACTTCATCACCATGTGGTAGGTTGACACAATCGCCCTAGGTTTATTCAGTGTGGGTCACCCTATGATTGCGTCGTATGCCGAGGGGATATCCATTATAAATCTAACTAGTATCATTTTAGAGCAAGGCTTATCTTCGAATGTAACATGCAAGTTCACGATCCCGAGAGAGGAGATAGAGCCGCTAGTGAACCCCGTCAACAAAGAAGTCAAAGAGGTAAGGTCATTAGTCCAGAGGCTAGGTTTTTAGAAAGTATCAAAGTAGAGGATATCGATAGAGCTACCTGTATCAATCATGACCCTCTTCACCCGAGCGTTGATCATCCTTACAGAAACTATCAAAGCATTGTCGTAGTTTAAGTCGAGGTACTCTGTCTTTTCCTCCTTGAAGGTTATCTCAAGGTCATTCTCTATCCTCGGGTGCTTTTCAATGGTAACTCGGGCATAAGTTTTATGACCCGAGGAGCTATTTTCTCCTAAGGCGGGTCCACCAATGATGAAATCAATTTGTCTCTCCACCGGCCCTTGAGGTTGGGGTGAGGGTTCCCGGTGCTTTCGAATGAATCGCCCGAGGTATCTCTGATGTATGAGTTCTTTAATTTGCTCTTTCAAGTTGCGATAATCCTTTGTGTCGTGGTCATAATCCTGATAGAACCGACAATATTTGCACTCGTCTCTTTTTGTCAATAGTCTTTATTAGGTGAGGTCTTTTAAGAGCCTCTTCTCTTTTATATGCAAAAAAATTTCAGTTTTAGACATATTCAAGAGGGTCAACTTGAACCTTAGACGAGGTAACTTGGGCTGTTTGTTCCTCCTTCACCATGGTGATCTTAGGGTCGGGGTAGATTGTGGTCGCTCCTACTTCGGCCTCTTGAATGACTCCTAATGCTTACCGAGACCATAGCCTTGACGGTAATATATTGATTAGTCCTCTGAAGTATCATTGGTATCGTCACCGAAGGCCTTTCGACCATGACCAGAAGAGATGAGAGGGTTTGAGCCCCATCATGAAAGTTTATATTATAAGCGACAGATGGATATCTACCGCGCCTCAGATTTCATTGGTTAACCGATTGACAAAGAGCATTTCCTCCTCCCCTTGCTTGAGTCTAAGAAGCATTGCCGCCGGTGACCTCGGGCGGACATTCCGGAGGAAGTGAAGTTCAAACTCCCTCACGAGCTAGGAAAACGAACTGATGGAAAGCGACTTCAGGCGGGTGTGTCATTCTCGTGTTGAGCCTAGTTCGGAAGGTGTGGCACATCAAAGCATCCAAAGTGCCACACAATTATATTTGGGCATGAAAAGTTATAATGTGCTATATTGGGTTGGCATTGTCATTGAATGCCTTCAACGATGGGAGGCAAAAGTTTATTGGAATCAATTCTTCTGGATTTTCTAGGTTAATAACGACCGACCCAAGGTAGGGTCGACCAACTCTTCCGCTTTGGATTGTTGGAACTCTCATCACATCTCCTTCAAACATTGGTCCATCTGCCTAACATGATCTATAGGGAATCCTCTATCGAAACCACTGACTGGGTCTCGGATTCAGGTAGGGTAGAGTAGTGGTGTAGTTCGTTAAATTCCACAGTTGATGAGTGAAGTGCCCCCTCGACCGGTAGTTTGATGGGTCTTGGGTGTTCTTGGGATATCGACACCACGTTAGGTGGGGGAACCTCGATGGGTGTTGGTACCAATGCTAGTGCTTGTGCCGGCAAAAGTGGAACGATAGCTTGTGTCATGTTTGTTAGCATCTGCAATTGCTAGGTGAGATTCAAGAACACATCGACAAGGACGAATATGTGGCTTAAAGTCATCCCTAAGGGTGAGAGGCCCGAGTCACTAAATGGACACCAATATCACATCGATGTTTACGCCGAGATGAATGCGTCAGTGTGCTCAAAGGGTGGCTACCGCCCAATTGAGCCCAATTGAGTGAAAGTATTATGTGTCAAGAGCAAAGCCTCCTCGCTCGAGTGTTGATTGAGAGGGTCGGATGAGCATTTCTACGACATTGGGCCTTCCTAGCATGAGAGAAAAAGTTGTTGACGTCCTTGTCAATCCAACGTGGCCACCTTCAAGATGAAAACATCGAACTCCTAATATGCTACTTATACGAAGGCCACGATCCAAAGAGATTTCCCGACTCGATCCCTCCGACGTCTAAGTTAGTAAACCGAGATGTATGAGTATGAATGCAAATAGTCAAAAAAGATAAACCTTATCTTTATTGTGTTGTGTTAAAGATCAACTTTTATATCTAATTGTAAAAGGATAAAATATTTAATAAAATACTTTACGAAGAGACAACCTCTAACTACCTCCAACAATCTCTCTTTGATCTCTTATCCACAGGAACAACAAGTATACGACGACCACCTTTGTCCACGTGAACAGACAGGTGGAGGATGACCTTCGTCTTCTTCTTTCACCTAAAATACCATAAGCATATTGCATGTCGAATGATAATTAACTGACAATATTCTCTCTATCAACTATCATTTGTCTATTAAAATAGAGACAATGAAAGTATAATTGGCATTTATACCTTGTAAAACTCCATGGAAATTGTTAGGAAGCAAAAAACAAAAAGTTTCAGCATTAAGTTGTGAAAGATACTCTAATCACTGTTAGTCTTGTGTGCAACTAGCCTCACATATAGAGAATAAAGCTTGATTGCTTTTGCCAACTCCAAAAGACAATGAGATGAACGCACATCCCCGAGTGCAGGATTTGGAACATCAACCAATTGGTCATGCCATTATCAACATGCATCAAGAGTAGGCAAGCATGTTCTCCACAAGTGATTCAGCAGAAGCCACTCTCCAAACCTACCAAAAGCAGAGAAATCAACATCAGATATCTGCTCAGTTCATGGAGATCTCACAAAAAGTATATTATGCATAGTGAAGAACATCAGCTATCTACTTTCCAAGAAGAGGAAGAAGAAAAAAAATTCAAGCACAAATTTTTCCACATTTTCAAGCTGGTGCAATTGGACCATCCTTTCAGAATGTCACCACAAAGCTATTAGTCTTAGCTTTCCCAAGAACATAGCATTTCGTTACAGAATGTCACCACAAAGCTAGTCATGTAAGGTGTATAGAGAGCATTCGGAAAGATCATGTAAACAGAGTTTGATTCTTTGGAAAAAGAAATATTAAGAGAGAAAGATCATGTAAACAGAATATGATTCTTCGGGAATGGAAATATTAAGAGTTGCCCAGGAAGAAGACGAAAAAAAAAGAATTCGTATGAGGTACTCTACTGATCTACAACCTTTAGACTTCACAAGGCTTCGATGGAGTTTCCTTCCGTAGTGGTACAATGCAGGCAAAAGTCCATTTAATTAATGCATTCCAGACCAAAACCAAGATCCCTCTACTAATTCAGCTTAAATATTGATGTGGTCAGCATCCAGGGCACTAGCTCCATCACTTTTGCTGTGGCGATTTTGAAGGGTGCTGCCAAGTTAGATGAACACTTTTATGGAAATGTGTTACCTCTTCACATTTTATGGAAATGTGAAACACAAGCATTTCATAGTATAATGTAGATTACCTAAAGGAATTTCTATTGGATCCCATTTCTAATTTGTGAATTCATCATTTTCAAGAAAAACATGTGAAATGTAAGGATTGCTGCCAACATTTTCCACTTTGTTTATATGTTATAATTTTCCCCCATCACATACTTGAGTTCTGCTGTACAATTGTGGATGCTTAAGGCTGTAACATTATATGTAATCCTTGGCTGTGAACATTATGATGGTAATGTACCTGGGCAATAATTACAGCAGGATTTTGGAGAAATTATCAGCAGGTTGCCAAGGACACTCTCATGGTGGATAATCTGATTCGAGCCTTCTTAATATGTTGTTAGTGATTACCCAGCTGAATCCACGGTACTGCAGCCACCTTACAATTCTCGACTTCCGAATCTGAAGAGATGAGTCCTGGCTGCGAAACCACTGCTTAGAGGCCTGAAGATAGAGACGTTCCATTGAATGTTTGGAAATGCCATGTTGTATGTTCTGATCGTTGCCACCAGTGTCATCCTCCTCAAATACCTCTTTTGTTGCTTTATCTGCTACCATTTCACTCACCCCTTTGTGCCTAAGTGCCTGTTTGAAGACCATAAACCTGTTAGTGCATATGCCGACCATGCCCTTCTGGTAGCCAAAAGAAGGATCGGACATTTCACTGTGACACCAAATCAGCTATCGATGAATTTTATGCCAAACCTTCAAACAGATATGTGTCCAATTGTGCACTCAAAACATCAGCCATTAAGTTCCATTAAGTTACAATGTCCAGGAGTTGAGACTAAAGAATGCATAAGAGAGGAGTTGGGTTCATAAGTCTCACCTTTTTTATACGCTTTGGACCCCAAGTCGAGGACAACCAACGAGAGTGAGAGAATGACTCCGCATATAGACCATCATTTATCAAACCCCTATAAGAATTAAAATCATTGAAACAGATGAATGCTTGAGAAAATTGTCATTTTGTGTGCATAAAAATATGTTGAAAATTAACATGTATCTATGTAAATTTTTCCTTACTATGCATGAAAGTAAAATGTCCAATCAAATCTTATAAGTAGCATTATCAACAGAAACTACTCACTTAGCACTCATATGTGGCTTCCTAGCTATGAAGATGAAGTGAAAAATGTTAATCATTAAGTTGTTAGTGAGGCATAACATATCTCAGTCCACCAAATGTATGAATAACCTTGCAGCTTTCAACTGTTGAAATCAGAAATAGTTTTCCACCAAACCAGAAAACTAGTTCAATCTATAATATTACACAAGTACCCCTATTTTCACAAAAAATTAATACAAGCTAGTTGAAATTGACCATCATAAGTACTATTATTTTAATAAGCACATGAACAAATTGCAGTTTATCTCCATGGGACTGTTAAACCACTTCCTGATTGTTAATAAATAAGAACAGACTCAAAAGAAATGTACTCAGAAGAAGATTAGAAACTTGCCTGTCTTTTAAACTGGCTATCAGCGAGTCAACTATATCAAGAGGGTATTTTTTGCCTCGTAATTTTTTTCGCAGCTCAAGTGTTGTAAATGCTCTGTGCAGAGACTGCATAGTTAATATCTTGTCATAATTATTACTCAAATCATCCATAACTAACATACAACAAGTGGTAATGGTAAGAGAAAAAGCAGATTGAAATAAGTTATTCATAGATTGAAGATGCCCATGCTTATTAAGATAAGAAAAATAAGATATTAAAAATTTAACATACAACATAACAGAATAAGAAAAGAGGAACACATTAATAAGTCAATGAAAGAGCCTCTCAAGTTCAACAACATGGTTATATGGCAATGTGCAATAATAATCTTATGACACACCAAATCATAATAAAAATAACTTTATAGGTGCATAAGTCCAAACCTGGCCGAAAGTAATTCAATTGCCATTTGCTCAGCATCCTGCTTAATTCTACTTTTCATTACTTCCCCAGTTTCAGCGATCTTTGTTATATCAGAATCTTGTTCCTCACCAGGGCATTGTCCAAACTCTTCCTCTGCAGCATCCTCCATGATATCTAGAGAACAACTACTGACATCTTTGAACTCTAGGAGTTCTTCAGCTCTATCAAAGATACCACTTGAGCTTGCTGCAAAGAGGTGGATGATAGTAAGCAATAAATGAAAGCATCATCAGTGTAGATAAAGTACAGTTGGGTACAAAAGGTTCTGAAACCTATCATTGGCTTAACTTCTGGTTGTTTGTGGCATTGCCTTCTCATAATAACCCGCCTACTTCACTCAGGCCCTCAGGATTACAAATAGGAATCTTAATTTACTATCAGAAAATGAAATGCATGTACACAATTCTTCAAGAACATCAGCAAAATCATACAATATTTTTCAGTTTTTTAAGAAATAGAACTAAGAAGCACTGACACGTGCTTTCGGTGGATGTGTCTGTGTTCGACACATGTCATCGTATCAGTTGTCTTTCTTTTTTTTTTCATTTCTAGTTGTGGGACACGGCATTGCCCCCGCTTCGCTCCCGCGCGCTTTGTCGCATGGCCCTCACATGAGGGTCATCTGCTTCGGATTCTAAATGGAGACAAATCATTGGCATCGCAAGAAAAGAAATCTGGAGATCGTTGCAAGGAAACATATATCAATTATATCTGGAGTTTGTTAAATATTATTTGATGTACTCAACCTTTATTTTGGATACTTACATTAGATGATTTTAATTGTGATATTTATTTGTTCACAATGAGGAGTTTATAAAATTTACGTACAAATACTATAAAACTCATGTTAATATAATATATATATATATATATATTAAAAAATACACATGTCCTCACCATGTCTATGTCCTTTTTTTTAAAAATGGCATGTCATGTCTGTGCCTGTGCTTCTTAGAACTAAAAAAAATGAACAGTGTACGGAATATGATCATTCACTCATATTATGTTCATGTCTAAAGGGGACTGTACTATTTGACAATCGTAACTCTGTTTCAAGTAAAAAACCAGGAAATTACTAGAATCTCCAGAAACTAAAATGGTCAATCTCAATTTTTAATCACAACCCTAAATAATTAGTGGGGTGACGGAGAGGAAGATCTCTATGTCTGCTTTGCTTAAAGTATAAGAAACAAATATCTGATAAAAGAAGCAGCTCAGATCATAATGAGAAGCTCTTGCCTCCTTTAGAAACAGAACTGACATGGTGTCCTATGGAACAAGAAAATCATCTAGTGTTCTTTTTCCTGCAGATACCAGCAACATTAACACGTCTCTTGTTTTGGCTAAGGAATGTTAGGAACCATTTGCATTTGTATTTTTTAGTATGTAACGAAAAATAATGCAACCAACGAGGCATGGTTTGTATGTGCCTTAAGCATTTGGCACCTTTTCTTTAGCTGCTTCTTATAATGTCACATGTAAAGCATATCCAAGAGGCACTTCTTCACTGAAAGGAACTAGAGGAAAGCATAATGTCACGAAACAGACTCTTCAATGCAAATATCTAACCGATTTCGCTGTTTCTTCTGATGTCTCACAAAACACCAAAAAAAAAAAAGAAATCCGGCCAAGCTATCATCAACAATAAAACCACAATTAAGATCAAGGTCTAAAACAAAAGCACATGATTCTACATAAAACCACATTTAACCTAGTCCTCAAGCGAATAATCAGATAAAAATGAAATTAAAAGACAGGTTCGAGGAACTCACCGCCCTCTGCATCAGGGAGACTGTTGCGTGAAAAAATCCGGTGAAATTTGATATTTTTGGAAGAGACTGTTTCGGTCGGGTAGGTTTCTTTCTCCTTGGCAGTCTTCAGATGCGAAAAATTTGCTGCTTTCCTGATCTTGGCGTATTCCCCCGGAATGCATCTAACACGACCGGATGAATCACGTCTGTTCTTCACCCTAAAGATCAAAAAAGGAGAACGCAAAATTACTCTAACCAGGTAAAAATCCACATAATCAACCTCGGTCATCTTTCCCTCCTTCAAGCGATCGAGGAGATGGTGGAAAGAGAGAAGTTGGGACAGACGAATTACCCCGAAGAAATAACGAGGCATCGAAACTGGCCATGGAGGGAGATGTGAAACCTTCGGTTTGCCAACAAAGTTGCCATCTTTTCTTGCCTCAAGAGCTCCCCCTTCTGATTAGGGCAAGCGGAGGAACTCGAGTACGGGACTGGCAGCGGACAGATAACGTACTTTAAGATATATATCGTTGGCAGACGACTGTTCTCAATATCGTCCGATACGTCGGCTGTTAAGGTCTCAGTAAATGTATGTATGTTTGCCATATAAACTTTATTAAATCTTAATATCTTTGACATGAAAAATCACATTTCAGATCCGAAATGATCTAAAGAGGGCATTGATAATTCCTCAACAAGAATCCTTAGCAATTAGCATGAAATTATTGAAGTGTTAAATAGATTCCTTCTAAGCTCTTAATTGTCATCAATGATTCTTTCTTAAATCCACACACACACACACACACACACACACACACACACACACACACACAC